GGGAGAGGGTCTACAACTCGTCATCCAACGTCCAGATGCGGGACCAGCTTTCCTCTAGCTCGGCCTTCAGACGGTTCACTTCCTCATCCAAAGCTAAGGCATGCTACTCAACTGCAGCCACAGCCTCCGGGCCAAATCCACTCCTCAACTCCAAGTTCTTTAGGTGAAGAGCGGCATAGACGTCCGACTAGCGCTCGATCACCCGCCCGGCATCGAGGACCCGGTCGATCAGCGCCATGGTGTAGTGTTGGCCCTGCACCAACATTTGACGTCAAAGACCCATGCAAAGAGGGAAGAATCAAAGCTAGAAGAAATGCCTCCACTCACCCAGACTAACGACTTGGCTGCTTGATCCGCCAATACCTCTGAGGAGGAGCAGAAAAGCTCCTTGGCCATGGCCGGGTGAAGCACCCCCTGGGTGAACTCCTGGGCAGTTGGCCCGTCGGCCCAGATGCAACTGTCGACCTTGAGGCTCGCCCACCAAGGAATGTAGGGGGTTCCCGACTCCCCAGCAGGAAGGTCGACCATGCTCAGGGCCTGGTACTACTCGCCTTCGCCCCGAAAGTGGATGCAATACAAGTCCCGCATTGACTTCGGGTGCACCGATGCCTTCTTTGAGGGGTCATCGACGGACGATCCGGCCAACCCCTTTCCTTTCACGCTCCCTGAGCCCTCGCCTTAGGGAACAGCCTCGGACGACCCCGGAATGGCACTCTCGCGAGCAACCGAGCTAGAGTCTTTGCCTTCTTCTGAGGGCGACTCGCCTCTGGGGACCCTAGCACCCTCCTCGGGGTGCCCTTCTGCGAGACATCCCCGGCTCCGGAACCCTCTTCACTGATTGGAGGTCCACCATTTCTACAAGCAAAAGCCAGGTTGGTTAGCCATCTCGGGACGAGCGGACGATCCACAACATGCGAATGACCATACCCCTAGTGGCTAGGCTCTGTCCCACTTCGACCAGCCACTCCTCGGTCATCTCCCTGATCGCTCGAGAAGAGGACAAGATGCCCCTCAGCCGGTTCACATCTGTTGTCTCTCCGACAGAAAGCAATGGGGGGACATTGTCGATGGTTCAGGAAGTCCATCCAGTATTAAAACCCCACCCCCAACTACAATTGACAAAGAAGAAGCGGCTCTTCCAACCTTTGTTGTTAGAAGGAGCGCTGCTAATCTTAAAATCGCTACAAGCGGTCAGATAATACCCGCCTCCCCCTCTACATAAACTAAGCAGGCCAGAAAAATGGTCCTGGATGGCTCTATCCCTGTCCCCCGACATTCCCTGAGGAAAGCCACCAGATAGAGGCAAGAGTTTGATACCATCTAGGACGACGATATCCCCCACTTGTGGAGGCATGCCTTGATGACAAGATGCAGCGGGAACTACAATCCTGCCTCAAGGGCGCCCACGGTCAGCTCGAACCCATCGGTAAACTGGTCGTACGGCCGCTGACTAGGCCGAGGGGCGAAAACGCCATAGCACTCCGGATACAATAGCGATCCCGAAGCTCCCCCAGAAGTTCCTCGGTCACCATCGAGTCTACATCATGCCACAACTTGAGATTTGCAAACACGGCAAGACTCCCTGCGGCCTTTGAAGGTGCACCTCCCAAAGACAAACCGACAACTTTAACCCGGAGACGTGGAAGAAGAGGACAAAGAAGAAGAAGACAAGGAAGAAGAAGATGAAGAAGAACGCGGAGACATCCTGACCTCGAAGTTGGAAGGAAGAATCTGGGTCACGGGACGAAGGACCAAGCAAGACAATGGCAGTTGGGCAAGATAATGGTAGATGAACAAAGTAAAGGACAACTGCGCTGAAGGAAGCTTATAAACGGCAGGCTGATCCACCGTGAGACGACAATTGGGCTTTTCAAGGAGAGAGATGGTTGTAGCATTTAAAACCCATCATGATTCCTTGGATTCACCAGATTTGCCGGTCTCGGAGCTCCTACCATAGGCACCTCGTCACCCAAAATCTCCCGCCAGAAGCCATTCGAAATAAAGAAGTTTCCCGCTAGGCACCGCACTGTTCCACACGGCCCGCCACGTGGCACGGTGACACCCGGGCTAAAACCGGCATGTCACCCAACAATGCCCCTTAGCCTTCATCCTAGTTGCTCCAGATCGATTCCCGACTTGCGACTCGTCGGCATCAAACCTGAGCCCGAGATTAGTCACTCGGCCCACAGGTCCAATCCTTGCCCGAGTCGCTCCAAATTGGTTCCTGACTTATGACTTGTCGGCACCAAACCTGAACCTGAGATCAATCACTCAGCCCACAAGTCCAATCCTTGCCCGGGTCGCTCTAGATCGGTTCCCGACTTGTGACTCGTCGGCACCAAACTTGAGTCTGAGATCAGTCACTCGGCCCATAGGTCCAGTCCTTGCCTGAGTCATGCCAGATCGGTTCCCGACTTGTGACTCATCGGCACCAAACCTGAGCACAAGATCAGTCACTCG